CAAATGAATGCCCCAACGACGCAGAGCAGCTGGGCACTGGAGATGGGGGCTGATGGGGGCGGAGGGGCCAGCGCAGTAGATAAAAAGCCAAGCGAAAGCAAATCAAATAAATTACATTAAAAGAAAAATATGTAATAAAATAAAATGCCTCCAACACACACACACACACACACAAACACACACAAGAGACAAAGGAAGCTGGTCGCTATTTTGGTCGAGGAGCACAAAGCGCACAAATGGACAAATGACCGAGTCGCAAGGAACACACACACACACACAGACACACACACACACAGACACACACACATACACACGTACTGTGCTTATGCTTTGAATGGATGTTGAATTCGCCATTCCACGAATTCAATTCATATTTGTATTGACAGACAGACGGACAGACAGACGGACAGACGGACAGGCAGACGGACAGACAGACAGACGGACGGACAGTCGGACGGACAGACATGTTACATGAAAGCGATCTGGCACCAACAAAGAATTTAATATGTGCATTTTATGTATTCGAATTGTAGCCTTCATTTCAATACAAGTTTCAAAGCTTATTTCGTATCATTTCAAAATACACTGACAAAAAACGATTTCTCATTTCTGAACATGATTTCCATTCCAAGTTCTATTTTTGAACGCAAATCAAAAACGTTCGCAAATTTACAATTTTTGAATAGAATTGAATAGAATACATGGAAAACGTTGGGTTTGTAAATGGCTAACTGAGCACACGAATTGAATTCGAATTGAATTGACAAGTGTAAATTGTAAAAGTGAATTGTGAATAGAGACAGACACCAATGACCCGATTAAATCATATTTCTGCGCATTCCAACTCAGTTGGCAGCGGACAGCGGACAGCGGACAATGCACAGCAACACGCAACACACAACTAAACAAAACAAAACAAAACATTCTTTTGACCATTAGTGTCCAAATGCAGAGCTTTATGGCCAGCACAAAAAAAAAAAACAACAAAAAAAGTGAATGTTGCCCGCAAACAGAGATTTCAGCTAAATACAAATTAAATTTAATTTTAAAGTCATACGAGTGGCAAACAAATAATTTCTGGATAATGCGATGCGGCTTAAAGTTGCAAGTAATTTGGCATTAGTTTCTGGCCGTTGTTAGCTGACAATCATTGCTGCCGTCAGCTCACTAAACGAGCGGTATTATTAATGGCCCAAAGTATCCCATACGCAAAACTGCAAAAAGCCATAAAAGACTTTTTAGCCCACAAAAAAAAAAACAAAAAAAAAAAACCATGAAAATAGAAACTGAAAGGAAGCGCTGCATTCGAAAACAAACTCCATAAAACTTTGCCAAATTCATAAAAAATAAACGTAAAATCCATTCAAAACTTTTGTTTCACATGAGCCTTGCTCGCCAACAACAACAACAACCACAACAGCAAAACAGTAAAACAGAAAGAAAAAAACTGCAAAAAGGTCTTCATTTAGCGCTTTTCGAATGAATGGATGAGTCAGCTACTCCTGGAGATGAGGGGGGGGGAACTCGACAAGGATTCGGTTTTGTTATACCCATGCTGCTCAATTGAACGGACATTGTGCGGGTTGGCACAGCCAATAAATGCACACACATACGCAAACACACACACACACACACGCACACACACCAATAACTACCTACTATTCACTTCGTCTTTTGGCGGTCTTCTTGAATTGCAGCCACCTTGGCGCGCTCGTAAGTAGGCTATGAAAAGTGTAGCCGCATCTCGGTTGTCGGTTGTCGGTTGCCGGTTGGCCTTGAGTGGCATTTAGCTAAGTCACATAATCCCATTTCGCATTCCCATTCCCCGCACACACACACACATACACAATTGTGGTGTACCTATACAAACAGCGACTACAGTTACCTGAATGCTGCTTAACCTCAGACACACAACCCACCACACCAACACACACACACAGACGCATATCAAAAACACCCGCAGAGGGTCTCAGCGATTGACATTGCGCCGGCGAGTAGCTTAAATCCTTTACGTTATCCCACATGTAACTGCTTCTAGGCGTGCCCAAGATCCCAGTGTGTCTCAGTCGCGCTTCCGTCTCGCATCTTGCGACGTACGAATCTCGCGGGGTGGGGGCGGTCAGGCACGGCTGAAACTAAATGAAACAGTTTTAAGAGAAAATTGTCCAGAGCCAAAGAGAGCACACTGGAAGCTGACTGGAAGTGAAGCATGAATCTGCACTGACTTCAGAATGCTCTACTGCAGTCTGTCGCAGCTCACTGTAAGCTAAGTAAAATTTGGAAAAGTTAAAATTCCGTTGTCAATCAAAGAACGTTTGTGATAAATTGATTAATAGAATAAAACTTAATAAATGACACAGGTTTGGGCATGCAAGGCTCTTAGTGCTGCCAAGCCAAAATGAAAGCCAATATGCCGCGTTGCCACATCACTGAAATACGCATCTTCCAATACTGGAAGGCCAGAGAGCAAGACGGTTGGTGTGCGAGAGCGTGCGAGCAGAGAATAAGAGAAAATTGCCCAACACTGAAAGTAACCGCTAACTGTAATTTAAATCAGATGTTGCATTCGACATTTGACATTTTGGCTGCCAAACGTAAATATATAATTACAAAAGTTACACATTTATATTTGTCAATCATTGACGACTTTTGGCCAGCTCCAAATCAAAGTTAATTAAATGTGAAATGTGCTGCATCCTTGCTGCCCAACTCAACTCAACTCAGCTTTGCCCTCTGCTCTGTATCGAATATCGACAATGTAATAAATTGCGCATTTTATGCAGCTTGCTGCCGGCGTCAATGTTGCATTATTCTTGCAACAACTTGTAGTTAATACTCAGCTGGAAATAATTAATTTAGCAAGTAAGTTGTGATATTAAGTTACAAGTTAACGAACATTTAAATATTGAATTAAATTCCTATTCTCCGTTCAGACTGTTGCATTTTGTGGACATATGTTGCATATATCAGCGCTTTCGTGTTTAGCGTTGTGGTTTGCCTTTTTGTTGGCCCATATGTTGCCAAACTTTGTGTGTGTGGCACAGCATAGCAAGAGCAGCAGCAGCAGCAGCATAGAACGTTATCAGCGAGTGTTCCAATTTGACGCTCAAGTTGTCAAAAACGTTTACGGGTTTCAGCACAGGACAGAAGCCAGCAGGCAGCTGCAAATGCACAACAACTGAATCAAAAAAATTAAATACAACAGCAACATGCCACATACAACATGAACAACGGACACGAACACAAATTTGGAGGTAAAACTGATCGATAGATCTGCAGAGCTATCGATCGATTTCTTACCATCGATAAGCGCAGATGACAAACTAACTCGATAGATTTACTGATCAGATATGGATGCTATGTTATCGGTAAGTCGATCGAATGTAAGTAATCTAAAAACCAAAAAACCAGGCAGACAGAAAGAGAGAATGGATCACGCCCCATGCATGGCTTAAAATACCCTGCACTTTTCCATTGAAAAGCTGAATATAAACGAGCAAATGAAGGTACACACACACACACACAACAGACACACACAGACACATGTGTGTATGGCGATATTTGTGTTGCGCTTTTAATGAAAGCGTTCGGTGGAAGCATTATTTGCATAGTGACTTGCACTTTAGTTGCCAACAAAGTTATTTAAGCCTTCCTCTACCTCCCTCCCCTCCCTCTCCCCCACTCTCTCTCTCTCTTTCCTTTGTCTGATTAACCTGCTTCAACAAAAACAAAAAAAAAGCGCACAAAGAAGAGTCAACAATTTGTGCAAATATTTCATGCAACCAAAAACGTTGGAACAGGAGTAAAAAGGCATCGTGTCAATACATTGAATGAATGTTTCTAAATAAATAATACAATGAGCAGCAGGCGCGTTTAAGGTTATTTAAACAATGCCATTCTGCGAGCTGCTGCAATTCATTCATCCATCATTCAGCGCACACACACACACAGCAGATGGGCAGCACTTGCAGTCGCTCTCACTCCAACGTGGCTACACTACACACACACACTTCTTAAATATAGGCAGCACTTTTGTCCATCGTTGGCAGTTCAAGTTCAATTCAAGCTGTACTTGCGTGCGTGTGTGTGTGCATGCGTGTGTATGCATCAACTCAAGTGAGACAGAGGCAAGGCCTGTAAGCAAATTGAGCATGCCAAAAAAAATACACGCACACACATACACACATAAGCATAAGCACACGCACAACGCACACATACAAAGGAGAGCAGAAATCAACACAAAAAACCTTTCAAAAATGTAGTGAGTAACATTCGATTGGCGCACACATTTCAATTTCCGCTTCATTTACGCTTTTTTCCTCTTCAGCGATGCTTTCAGCATGCCTACAAGTACACACACATGCATTTTCAACACATCTCTCACACACACACACGCACACACACGCGCGCACATGTCGGGTGTTCATTAAAAATTAAAAAGTAAAACAAGTGAGAACGTTGCAGTCGGGCATAGCCGACCGCGACATACACTGATATCATAAGAAATACCTGGTGATCTTCGCATTTTTAGTAATCTACCAGCCTTTAAAATTGCTATAAAATGTTTACAGGATTTTTGAACTGTTGAATGTTGAATGCGACCTTGATTAAAGTTAAGTAGTTGCTTAACGCAATTAGTTTCTTGTGATTATTTGCATCCACATTAGGCATTGACATTCAGTAAGTTTGTCGTAACCGAAATAGAGTTTATTTGCCTGCGATTTACATTTATTTAAATTGTTGATTTTCATTTCATTTCGAACTCGAATTTGTTTGTATTTTCACACGGTTTGTGTACGTACTGTAAATTATGGCAACAGAGACATGAACCGGGCGAATTGACGTATCCCTTGCTGTGTACTAAATATGACTGAACACTGACATAGTTCGTGCACAAGCCTGCCAGCAGGTAGGACAGCCAACAGCGCAGACACATACCCAGTATTCGCTATACACGTTGTGAGAAAAGTATAAGAGTGAATGAGTGAATAAAACAATTATTTCTGAACAATCATTAAGGTGTATATTTTTGTGGTTGGTTTTGATCGCCATTACATACATATTGGGGAATATGCTAATGTTAATGTTAATGTAATAAACATACACATACACAACTGACTAATGGTTCTTCTCTTCTTCTTCTTCTTATTCTTGTTCTCCAATCATTTCCACTGATCGCTGCTTAAAATACGACGATTAACATAGATTTTATTTTTAGATGTGACTTAAACTAACGGTTACTTTCTGCCCCAAAAAGTCATGCTTAACAACTACATAAAAATTGTACGTACAGCTAGAAATATAACATATGTAATTTTACATAAATATACATATACATTCATTTATCATCATTATATGTATGTGTGTGTGTGTTTGTGTGTGTGTTAAGTATTTCAATTTGCCACAGACTATGCAAAACGGAGGTTAACATAACCTCACTCGCACTGAAAGGGGATGGGGCGGGATGGGAAGAAAGGGGAAAATAAAAATAGAGTTGTCGCTGCAAAATTAGAACACTTCGATTTCAGACTTAATTCTTATTTGCAATTAGCATTATTCAACTTGTTGTATAAAAATATGCGTTATTTAAAATTAAATAAATCTATCCGATGAATCTTTTCCGCTTCAAAATGTTAGGAAACAAAAACGGAAGAAAAGAAAAAACAAAGCACGAAACAATAACAATACAATAATTAAGTACACACTTCACTTAATGACAAATGACAAACAGTTCCAATTAGCGAGCGACTACTGTAGCTTAACAACTAAAACTCAAATATTTATAACGTTTAAGACAATTAATTCAATTCAAATTGCATCGAACTTAAAACACTGCACACATATATACAAACTTGTGCACTTTATAGGGAGGTTCCACTGTATCAATATGTGTATATATGAAAGCGGCAAAGTTGCAGAAGGGAGGGAGATTGGGGGTTGGGGGCGGGGAGGGGAGGCTTGGTTGGGAATTACACACTAAAAACAAAATTTGCACTGCCCATTTTTTTGTTGTTTGTTTTGTTTGCTGGTGTTTGTTTTTGGTTTGTGGCATGTGGCACGCCTAGAAACGCTGCGGCAACAGATCGCTCTTGATGCCCCTCAGCGAGTGCTTCTTCTTGCGATGCGTGGACAGATTGCAGGACTGCTTGAAGGAGGCGCTGCACATATCACAGTTGAAACGCCGCTCCTTGCTGTGCACCACCCGGTGCAGCTCCATGCGCGACTTGTACTTGAACTTGATGCCACAAGTGCCATAGTCGCACACATACCAACGCTCCCCATCATCGGATGAGACAGCGCTGCTCGCGCTGGCCGTTGTGCTATTTGAGTCCTTCGGCGCCAGCTCCTGGGCGACGGCAATCAGTGGCAGGCCCAGCTGTTGCATTACCGCTCCTGCATTATTGCCACTGCCCAACTGTGATTGCTGTGGCACTGTTGTCACTGCTGCTGCCGCTGCTGCTGTTGTTGTTGCTGTTGTGCTTACGCCAACAATTGTTGCGGCTGTTGCGCTGCCAGCGCCGCCGCTTAGAAAACTACTGGCTGCTGCTGCTGTTGGTGGCGGCGGTGGCGGCGCCGGCGCTGACACTGGCACCACCTGAGACAAATGGTAGATTGTCGTATTGGACGAGGCGGCCGCGGCAGCAGCAGCTGCCACCTGCATTTCTGGCGTCAGCTCCACTTTGATGTCAATACCACCGCCAATGCTGCTGCTGTGTGCGCTGCTATCACCACCACCCCCACCAGCAGCAGCAGCAGCTGCGGCCACAGCATGCAACTCGGCGAGCTCCTTGGCGGCATCCCGCTGTTGCTGTTGTTGTTGCTGCTGCTGCTGATGAAGATGTTGCTGCTGCTGCTGATGCTGGTGATGCTGATGTTGTTGCTGCTGCTGATGTTGTTGCTGCTGCTGCTGCTGCTGATGCTGTTGTTGCTGCTGCTGTTGCTGATGTTGTGCTTCGTGCAACTCAACGGCAGCGGCCACATCTCGCTGCTCATCCTCGGTGTATTTGTAGAGGGCAACGGGAACAGCCACCGTTGTCACATTGCCCGCCGTCTGCACTGAGGTGGTGTTCGATGTGACCGCCGATGCTGACTCCACGTCCGCTAGGCAATAGCTGCTGCTGCTGCTGCGATTATGCTCCTGCTGCAAACACCAACACAACAACAAAAACAACAACGAAAACATTAGTTTTGGGCGCCAAAAAAAGTAAACGATCTGCCTGTCAACTTGTCAACATATGTGAAAAGTGAAAGGGAATGGCGGGGGGAGGGCGTCCAATTCTGTGGGGTAGGGCAGGGGGTGGCTAAGAGACGCACCTTGGCTACGCCATGCAGAAAATTATGCTCATCCTGTATGTGCTTCCAGAAGGCGTCCTGCGTTTGCAGCTCTTCCTGGCATGTGTGGCAGACGATCCAGAAACTGTCGCCGGATAAACAAAACTCGCCCAGTTTCGTATAGATCTTGTGGTTCTTGCTGAGAATGCGCGGAAAACCCATTGCGATGACGCCGTTGGGTTTGTGCGCTGCCCTTTATTATTATTATTATTTATATGAATGTTTTGTTGGCTAGCCGAAGTACAGGGTTGCATTCACGTCTCTGTGTATTTATATGTTTTACCGATATATCGATATATCGGCAAATTGTGCAGCATTCGTACGCTTGGCGCTGCCACCTGTTTGAAATTATTAGCAATGCCCGACACAAGAAAAAGACGTTGGTGTTTTTCGTTTTTTGAATCTTTATCGGTTCTTTTAAAATTTATTTCTGCTTAAATTTGCTTCTTATTTTTTGTTTTTTTGTTGTTTGTTTTTGTGTTTTCATTATTTTATAGTTTTTATTTTCTGTTGGTTTGGCAAAAAAAAAAAAAAAATGTGACTATAATAAACAAGAAAAGGATTCATAAATACTTTGACGGCTTCAACTAACAATTAAAATATATAAATCTCCATATATACATGTGTATGCGTAGTAGATTGTGGTTGTGTGTGTGTGTGTCTGTGTGCTTGTGTTGTGTGTGTGTGTGAGTGTGTGTGTGTAGTGTAAATATACTAAACAGCTGAAACTAAAACGAATGTAGAAACTTGCATTTCTATAAATCATTTTCCCATCTAATTTAATAACAGCACAAAAATATATGTATGTCTAGTGTATTCAGTTATTAATAATATAATAATAATACAAATAAATATGTTTCTCTTTTTTTCTTGTTCTTTGCCAAATAATCCATAAAACGGATATTATTTATGTAACTTATACACAATATATCATACGCGTACGTACATATGCGATTATATACATACATTATATAACATAAGCATTTTGTATACCCTTGCAGAGAATTGTACATATATATATGTATATATATATATATGGGATCATATTTCGGAAAGAAACATTATCGATCCAAATTATTTAATAGTTTTTGTTCTTCTTTAATTAACATTCTGCAAAGGGTATGTAATATTCGGGGTTAGCCGAAAATTTCAACTGTTCTTTCTTGTTTTGTATGTTTTTAACATATTTTTCTTGGTTTTTGTTTAAGTTTTTTTTGTTTTTTTTTTTTTTTGTTTTTGTTTGTTTTTTTTGTTTTTGTTTTTTTTTAATAATGTTAAGAGACTTGGAAATTGTTCATTTACAAAGTACATAAGTAGTTTTTTTGCTTGCTTATATGGAACATGTTTCAACACATATATTGCTTGTGGCAAGTTCGGAAACGAACTGACGCACAACACAAGACGCATGAATTTGCTGCAGTTGCATTTGCATTTTATGTTTACACAATTGTTTTTCTTTTTGTTTTCTTATTTTTTTTTTTGTTTTTGTATTGTTTTCTTGTTTTTTTCATTGAGTTATATATGATGAGTAGGATGTAAGAAATTACATTTCTTTGCTAAGCATTACAAGTTAATGACTTTATATAATTTATATACGAAAAAATTCATTTATATAACTATGCAGTCAGTTTGACGCCGGCGAACGAGCTTTAAATGTTTTGCTATTATAATTGTTGCTGTTGTTGCTTTTGTGTTTTTGTTTTTGTATTTCGAGCGGGCAGCGCGCATTGAAAACAAAAGCGAATTTTTTTAAATTTTAATGTGTGTTGAGTTGTTTTTTGTTTGTTTGTCGATGTGTGCAAGTGCTGACCTTGAGAAACGTTGAAAATTATTGTTGTTTTCTTTCTATATATATATATATAAAGGTGTGTGTATGTGTGTGTGTGTGTGTATATATTTATATATGTAGTTGTGGCTTTAATGTAATCAGTTCTTTGAGTTCTCAGTGAAAAATAGTTGAAATACAAAATTGTTTAACGAAAAGCAACAAGTTTCATTTTTTTTTCGTTTTTTGTTTTTGTCAATCTGCGGACGCTGTCATCGATACTTCGGCAACATGAACTATCGATTACCGATTGTTTAATTTGCGGCATATGATGCCCATTGAAAATTAGTTAACCTACTTACGCGCTAAACAAAAAAATGAAAAAAAAAAATTTTAATTAATAATTAAACGTGGATATATGTAGAAAATAACTAGTTAAGCTTAACAGTAGTTGAAATGAAGCTATAAATTAACTTAGCCATAGACTACAATTTACATGGGGCATGCAGCATGCAGCATGGTGCGCAATGCAATTTAGAATGCATCGCCCGCATACCAGGGATGCACCCAGGGCGTCGATGGCGGCGGCGTTGGCGGATAAATCGTCGGCGATGGCTGACCATGTGCATGGTGGTGAGCTGCCGCCGCCGCTGCTGCCGCGCCCATATGATGATAGGGCGCCGGGAAGGCGCCATAATAGGAGGCAGCTGCCAGTGCGGCCGCTGCTGCTGATGCCGATGCGGCCGCTGCTGCCGATGCTGATGCGGCTGCTGCTGCCGATGATGAAGGCGATGTTGCTGCCGATGACGAATTGGTTGACGATGCCGGCGACAGGCTGGCAATGCCAGCCACTGCTGCTGCCGCTGCACAAATGCTGTGACGTCGCTGCATGATCGCGTGTCGCTGCTGACGTTCCGCGGCCACCGCTGCCGCAGCCACAGCTGCCACTCGTGTCGCTGTCGCCGTTGATGCGCCGCCAACGTGATGATGATGTTGATGTTGTTGTTGATGATGATGTGGAAGTTGATGTTGATGTTGATGATGACCCAGCTGCTCCACGGTCAGGGTGAGGCGTCGAGCACGCAGCGGTTGCCGTTGCAGCTGTGCCTGTGCCTGTGGATGTGGTTGCTGCTGTTGCTGTTGCTGCTGCTGCTGTTGCGGAGGCGGAGGCGGCACTGCAGCATCTCTGGCCAAGCTCCAATCAATGCTGCTGCGACCACAACCACTGTTACGACGGCGTAGTGGTCTTGCGGCTGCAACAATGCCGCCACTTAACGGCGGACTCAGCATATTGGCGGCAGCCTTGCCATACAGCGTGGATAAATACGCGTGCTCCGCCTGCGCCATTTGCTGGGCAGCGATGCGACTGCTGCTGCTGACTTTACCAATGTTGCTGCTGTTGTTGTCGTTGCTGCTGCTGCTTTGCAAATGTTCCACGTGTTGTCGCTTTTTTAGCTGACGCTGCTGCTCCTGTTGCTGGCGTGTTGCAGCTGCTGCTGCTGCTGGTGCTGTTGCTGCTGGTAGTGCTGACAATATTTGGGTTTGAGGTTGCGGGTGCTGTCGGTGGTTGTGGGAGTACAACATTTCGTATGTGTTTCTGTTGTGGGCTTGTGGTCGATAGTGTTGTTGTTGCTGCTGCTGCTGTTGCTGCTGCTGCTGCTGATGATGCAGATGTTGCTGCTGTGTGTGGCGTTGCTGTTGCTGCTGCTGCTGCTGTCGCGGCTGCTGCTGTGTCTGTTGATGTTGTTGTTTTTGTTGTGGTGCTGGTGGCGGTGCCAAATGAGATGCGGCGGGTGTTGTTTTATGTTGTTGCTTGTCGTCTATTGCTGCTGCTGCTGCTGCTGCTGTTGGGGTAACTGTGTTTGATTTTGTTATGTAACTGTGATCTGATATTGCTGCTGCTGCTGCTGCTGCTTTCAATGCAGTTGCCGCTGTTGTTGTTGTTGTTTGGATTGATGGTGGTGGTGGTGTTGTTGCTGTTGTTGATGATGTTGTTTCTACTGTTGTTGTTACTGCTGCTGCTGCTGCTGCTGCTGTTGTTGTTGTAGGCAAATGTTGTGCTCCCCAACTTAAATCCTAGCTGGTGCGCGTACGCTTCGCCGGCGGCTGCTCCGACTGCCTTGTCATGAATGTCAACTGCGTCATGTATTTGATTATGTCGCGCACCTGAACAAGCGGCATATTCTCATTGTAGGAACGATCGTACTCCATCAGTATTTGCACCTGTCGCCTGCGAGAACATTGAACACAAAGTCGGTCAATAACCAAATCGGTAAACACAGCAAATTCTGCATAATATGTAATAATTGTTTAGCGACACATTTTTTGGGTATTATTATTATTTCCTGAAATATATATATATATATATATATATATACTTAATATATATCTAGAATTGTAGCTAAATTATCTCTTTGCGTGTTGTAGCGTGTTTTCTGTATTATATTATATATATTATCCCTTAGAGTTTTAAAGCTATCTCGATGAAACTTATCTATATATGACTTTTAATTCCGGTTCGGAAAATTTTATTATATGGCTGTCATCAAAAAAAGACAAGCAGACCAAGAAACCCACAAAATATGCGTCTGATTATGTTCGTCATCATCGGACCACTAAAGAATGAGGAGGAGTTTGAAGTACTGGGAGCGAGGAGGCAGTCTCCTTTTTCTCTTTTCTCGACTTTTCATTTGAACAATAATTAATAATAATAATAATAATATTTTAATATTTGTTGCACCACTTACCGGTTCGCCTTGTAGAGCTCTACGCAAAGCGCCTCGATGAGACGCTTGCAATGATCGAGGGCGACGGAGGGGAAGAAGTTCTTTTGGAATTCGGCTAGGGTCATTAGCTGCTCGGATTCACTGTAGGCCTTCATGTTGATGCAGGGCACCAGATGCTTGTCGATGCACACCTTCTGCACCTTGTACGGTATTAGGTTCATGTTGCTGGTGGGTATCTCCGGTATGACGCACAGCCGTTGCGCACCATCTCCGCTCGACGCGCTGCTGACACAGGCAGCGGCAGCCAGGGCCGCCGCATGACGTTGCAGATGCATCGAGGCGCTGTTGCTGCCGCCCGAACTGCCGCCGCCGCCGGAACTGCCACCACCACTGCCGCCGCCATTGGATGAACTGTTTACGCCGGAGTTGTTGCCGCCACCACCACCGCTGTTAGCGCTGCCGCCACTGTTGCCGCCACTGCTGCTGCTGCCGGCACCGCTGCGTGTGCCACCATTTTGCATATGTTGCACAAGTGCAGTGGTCATTCGCTGATGCTGTTGCTGTGCGGCCTGTTGTTGTTGTTGTTGTTGTTGCTGCTGCTGTTGTTGCTGCTGCTGCTGCTGTTGCTGGTGGGCGGCGACGGCCTGCTGTTGCTGCTGCTGCTGCTGCTGATGAAATGCCGCTAGCGACCTTCGGGATGAAGACAAATCGATAACATCAGTGGGCGTTGTGCTGGGCGTAATTGTGGTGCTGCCAATGCCATCGACCAAATGGCAGCTACCGACATTAAATTGATGGCTGTGTGACTGACGACCAAAACCGCTAAGCGATTGCTTGTGACGCGTGGAACTAATACCAATTGCACAACCTACACCACCACCCCCGCTGCCAGCAGCATTTGCAGTCGAACCACCGCTGCTGGTGCTGCTGCTGCTGCCGGCCAAGGATAATATTGCCAGTGGCAACGCATTCGCTTTCGTGGAGCAAATGACACTCTTTTGACGCGCTGTCGCGGCACCACCAACAGCAACATTATTTGAACCACCCACAGCCACACCACCGATACCAACACCACCGCCACCAGAGCTGCTGCTGCTGCCCAGCGGCGAGGCAGCCGTTGTGGATGCACTCGAACTGGAGCAACTGCTGGAGGGTGAGTGCAGAAAGTGGCCAGGCAATTGTGGTGTTATGGTCACATTGGGATTGGAGGCCAGCGACAAGGTGGTCACATTTGTGGCACCAATTGCCGGCGACATGGGCGGCGATATGTACGAGGTCAGGGGATGTGTATTATTTGGATTTGTATTTGCATTATTATTATTATTATTCGCATTGGTCTGTATGGATGTGGAGAGATCTGGATTGGCTATCACCTTGTGTATAACGGCTCGCATCTCGTCCGTCATATTAAATTTCTTTTCAAAATCCTCCAACGCTTGCGTGGAGTTTAATGGTATTGTTGTGACAACACTACCACCACCACTACCACTACCACCACCACCACCACCGCCTCCCCGTTGCTTTTTGCCAATTGGCTGCTGCTGCTGATGGTGGTTGTGGTGATGGTGATGGTTGTGATGATGATGGTGATGGTGATGCTGCTGCTGCTGTTGCTGTTGCTGCTGGTGATGCTCATCTGATATCAGTGGCGGCACTGTGGGCTTCGTAAAGGTGCCACCAGCTGCCGCCTTACTGCTCTTGTTATGATTCGTCGTCTGCTTATTGGGATTATTGTAGTCCAGCATCGTTATCAGATCCGTGTCCAGTGGCAGTGATGGTAACGCCGGAAAATTGCCACCTGCTGTTGCCGACGCCGCTGTGCTGCTGTGCGATTTCTGCGACGCATTCGCAACAGTGGCGCCCTTCATCTGCTGCGTGAATAGCAACCGCTGCGTGGGCGTCAATTGATTCCACAGCGCCAGATTCGTGTAATCAGCACGTGTCGAGGGCATATTATAGTTAAAGGGACTGCCCAACAACGCATGCATATTGGCAGCTACTGCGGCAGCGGCAGCAGCAGCAGCAGCAGCCGATGTTGCCGAAGCTGCGGTGCTGCTGTTGCTGCTGCTGCTGTTGTTGTTATTGTTGCTGTTGTTGTTGCTGCTGCTGTTGCTGGTGTTTGATGTTTGGTGGATGGAGTTGGAATTGGTATTGGACGAGGACGAGGAGTTGCGCGTATTGTTGCTGTTGTTGTTGTTGTTGGCAAGGGCATGGCCATGATGATGGCTACGTGGGCTGTGCGTGTTTGGGGAGTGTTGTGCATGGTTGTTAAATGTGCTACTATGGTGTTGTTGTTGTTGTTGTCGTTGTTGTTGTTGCTGTTGTGTCTGTTGTTGTTGTTGTTGTTGTTGCACCAGTGATTGCTCGACATTTGACCTAGAAACATTATATACAATACATCAGTCGCATTTAGCTTGGCTGCAAAATTTCCATTTTTTTTGGTTTTTTTTTTTAATTTTAATTTTATTTTGTTTTTCAAGCATTTTTCAAATTTTGTTGATATCCTCGCCTAAAACTTTGCCACGCACATCTAAAAATTTATTTTTATTGTATTTTTGTTTGTCTTCTAACAATTTGTTGCATCAAAACACATACATAGAGTTAAAGGAAAAAAAAAAAAAAAACAATATTACTATGCATTTATCAAAATTTTCTGCGTTTGCCTGCACTAATTTTCTAGCCAGTGTTGTAAAACGTTTGCTGTTGCACAAGTTAATCTAATTGTTACATGATTCGATTATGAAATTTCTTGTTCATTATTTTTTTTTCATTTTTTTTTATTATACATTTTATTATTTATTTTGACGCATATGCTTCCCTGTATATATATATATATATATATATACATCAGTCTTTATGTATGAATGTATGCGATCATGTTGTGTGTTTATGTGTGTGTGTTTATGTGTGTGTGTTTATGTGTGTGTGTTTATGTGTGTGTGTTTATGTGTGTGTGTTTATGTGTGTGTGTTTATGTGTGTGTGTTTATGTGTGTGTGTTTGTGTGTGAGTGAATGCAATGAATGTTTATGCATATTTAAAAAATTTGTACTTTTTTTTTCATTTTTTTTTTTATTTCGTTGCAAGTTGCAATTTCACAGCTAATAAATAACCTTTTCTTGCTTGCTTAAAATGTACATCAAATTGTAAGAAAAAAAAAAAAAACAAAAAAAAACAAATACTATCTTATATGTACAGTACATACATCTCGTGCATATTATGTGTATGTATGTATATAAATACATTTTGCATTTTTTGTAAGAATTTTTGTTTGCCAATTTATCAACTTGTACACGCATTATATATAATGTTATCTTGATCTCTCTCTCTCACTGTGTGGGGTGGTGGGGCGTAATAGTTTCGGTATCTGATAATATGCAGATATTGTTTTGATTGCGGTTATGATTTGATTTCGATTTCGATTCATGCCTTGAGGCCGGGGTGGAGTTTGTGGATTGCAGTCTCTGCCATAGGGGGGAAGTAGGATACCTGTCACCAGAATTTTGTTCTTTATTAAAATTCCATTTTTTCATATTATGTTGAGATTGTAGTAAATCGTTGCTTTGTTGTTGTTATTCGTCGTTTTGCATAAGAGTCTTGAGTCATGATCTTGTTCTTTTTTTTTTTCAATATAGTTTTATTGCTACAAAAATGATTAGGGGTAGTCAGTACACACAGCCATAAATTATATATGTATGTATATATGTTTGTTTGTATATTATTGATACAAATACATTTATATACATAATAATATATATGTATATAATATATATATATATATATATATATATATATATGTATTAACAAATTATCGATATCAATAGCAGTAGCAATTAGCAATATTCTTTATTGTCTTCATTGCATTAATCTAAAATGCGAATTCATGTTTTTCAAAATATGTTGTAGTTCTTTTATCAGCGCTACGTCTCAAAATCTCCTTCAAATTAAATAGTATACATAATACACAAAGAAAAGTACCCGGAAATCTCAATAAAAACAAAAAAACAATATATATATATATAGAAGAGAAAAGTGATTCATGTTTATTGTTAATTCTTTGAATTTACAGTCTAAAAAGATATTAGTTGTTTGCAGCAAGCATAACAAATAAAAATTGGTTTTAGAAAGCGTTCAAAGTTGAGAGCATGCAAAACTACACAAAAAATATTTACAAATATAACTGCTAAATGAATGTGTGTGTGTATGTGTGTGTGTGGGTGTGTAGAATAGTGTATTAGATTTATTTGTTTTTTCTTATGTTCACCGTTAGTTTTTTTTTTATTAATATTACCCCGAAAAGTGTTGAATTCTAAGAGACGAGAGAGACGCGATATCCGATATCGATTTTTGGCACTTGAACACTTTAATAAATGTCAAATTCAAAAGCAAAAATAATGTGTGGGCATGTTGTGGTTGTTGTGTTTGTTGATTGTGTGTTAGTAACGCAAACGACGTTTTAGGCGAAATATTTCTCATTTGTATTAATTTAGTTCAGTGTGTTTTGTGAATATATATTGAAAGACATAAGATGCTGACAAAGTTTGTATTTTTGTTTTATGTTTCTTTTTCTTTTTTAACTACAACAACAGTAAGAAAAACATGAAAAGATTTTTGTTTAGATTTTTATTAAAAATAATTGATTTTTGTTTTTTTTTTGTTTTTGTTTTACGTGTTGGAAAAAAATTACGAAAAATAATGTGGTGTGACTTTGGGAGGGGGGCAAACGAATGGTAGCAAATAAGTTGTGCGTGTAACAATTATTTTTCATAATTTCATAACATATTTATCAAAAATGGTAAACACAGTCGAAAGTTGTATTAAAATTAAATAAAATGCGTGCACAAACGCCGATTTCGGTATTCTGTATTCTCTTTTCTTTTTTTGGTTTGGTTTGGTTTGGTTTGTATTACAACTAAATAAGATGAAAAAACAATTGGTGCATAGTAGAAGAGAACCAACAAAAAAAAAAATAATAATTACTTGCTGCAGCATTTATATGTTGCTTTTTTTGTTTTTTGTTTTTGTCATGTGGCACCCTAATGGCAGAAAAATATTCAACTTAATTTAGGATGAAAAAGTAATGTATGCATGTACACATAATAAACGAATTACAACAAAATTTGAAAAACTCAATTTCTGCGCAAAATATTCGCTTGATTGATCAGTCAATCAATCAATCAAACATAAGTCATTAAATATAATATGTATGCATGCAATTAGATCATACATACGTACATATATATATATATTTATATATATATATATATATATATATATATTTATATTTATATAAGAAAAGCAAAATCAAAGTAGCAAAAACTAATTGTAACTTGAATAGAAAATTGCTTTCATCATTATTGTCATTATTATTATTATTATTATTTTATAACGGCGCATTTACAAATCGATAGCAACAAATGTGATATCAAATGTAATCGATATACATATGTATGTATATGTATGTACATCAATTGCATCAATCATCAATCATCATCATTAATACTTACATGTGATTGGCCGCCTGCCCTGCCGCGGAACGAACTAACGGCGGCGGCGCATTGGAGCCACTACTATTCACCGAGGACATGGATATCGCCGGATTATTATACGTATACGGCTGACGACTGCTCCCACTCAGCATCATGTTGTTTAGGTGTTCGCGGTATGTGCCTCGGTTTGCATTCGCATGCGTTTGTTGCGCCTACATGTTGCCACACCAACACAGCCACCAGCGAGCGAGCCAGCGAGAGAGAAAGAAAAAAAAGAACGGTGAGCAAAATTGTTTAGAAAAAAAAGTAAGCAAAAAAAATGAAATAAATGCCAAATGCGGGAGAATGAGGGAGAGAGGAAGAGCGAGGGAGAGAGAGAGAGATAAAGCGTCAACAGGTTGCTATACACATACATGTATATGTGGACATATATGTGGCATGTGCAGTACGTATGTGTGTATGTGTGCAGCAATAACAAACACAATTACAGAGAGAGCATCTACGACCGACTATCTACGCATGACCCAGTTTTTGAGCTGCTGCTGATGTTGCTGCTGCTGCTGCTGCTGCTGCCGCTGCAGCAATTGCAGCCACTGCCAAAGTGTAATAAAAAAAATCTGCTATACATACTAATACACACACACACACAAAACACCTAATGTTACAAATGTTACACTTAGAAATATTTTTATATGTCTCAGCAATAACAACAAAATATTATCTTAGATTCGTTCATAAATTAACTTCAGCATCATTTTTATTTATGCTGGAGGTTAAATATTCTAGCCATTGAATCGAGAGAACTTATCGATATTGGAGGGGCCTGCAACTTAGTAAATAGATATTTACTGTATTTGCGAGTGATCGAATGGCGGCAATAGTGAATTATCGATAGTTAGCTTATCGATATTGAGAATTGAGCAGGAGGCAGAGTGTGCCAGTAATGATCGAAAATTGAGATGTGTATTTAAGCTGAAGATTGGATTATGAATTGTAATACTATTCTATATGTTGGGTTTTAAAGCGACAAAGTGATGCACTAGGTTTGGCGGTTAGACTAAGAAGAACTTTTATTCAATGTATTCTTAAGTTGGGGTATCGAGCGCATTATCGATTTTTTCTGTTATTAACATTAGTAATCGGAATGTTGTATTGATCTTTTACATATTGCTTGTTATCGTTATCTAGATTTGATGACAACAAATTACTCACCAACATTTGTACATGTAACTGGGGCACATTGTTCTGGCTATTCATCCAGCCACCGGTGGCCAATGCCTGCACCGTTGCCTGCGTCAGCATACGGGAATTTCCCTGCGTCTGCATTATTGCCGCTGCATGCGTATTGAATGCGGCTGCGGCCGCTGCTGCCGCCGCCGATGGGAAATTGCCGGCGACGCCATTTGCAGCAGCTGCTGCTGCAACAGCAGCGCGTTGTTTCATCAAATGCTGTTGCTGCTGCACACTGCTTGCAACTGTCGAATGCTGCTGCTGTTGTTGCTGCTGTTGCTGCTGCTGTTGTTGCTGCTGCTGTTGTTGTTGTGACTTTTGTGCAGCTGCTGAGGCAGCGCCGCCGCCACTGTTGCCAGTATTGTTAACGCTGCCACCGCTGCTGCTGCTACTGCTGTTCGTCGTTATCTTTGGCGGTGGCGCTGTGGGTTGACGTGTCCAGTTGACCGAATTATTGACATTGGCCCGATTACCGATGAGCAGATTGGAGTCGACCACCTTGCTGGGCCAATAGTCCTCGAATTCGGTGCCATTGGGAAAATAGCTTTTGATGTCCGTCAATGAGATGACGGCAACATTCTCGCTCGAGAATAGCTCATTGCGTATACCCTGAACCTTGCAGCAGAACTTCAGATATGCCAAATCCCAGCCATTTAATAGTTCTGCTTTCGTCTTTAAATTCTCTGTTTCGCCCTCAAAATAGAAGAGCGGCACAACCTGCTGATTATTCCGGACAGTGTACGGTACAACGGACTCCTTGTTGATCCGTATGAAACCGCATTTCTCCGATGGCATTTTACTGCCCGCAATCAATTTGCGATAACATATATCGAGAAACTGATGAAATTTGGATGCATCACTTAGACGGACCACCAAATCCTTTTGGGTGAATATATCGCGACCGAATTCACCATCGCAATGCTTGTGATTGATTTCGATAAAGAGACGCGCCTCGGCGTCCGTTATATAATAGCTGCGCACGCAGGTGCAGCTGGAGTAGATGTCGGGATGGAGACAATTTAAATATTTGCCAAGCAGCTTCAGTTCGATCATTCGCACCGAGCAATATTTTTCCGATTGCCGATAGATATATGGTATCGATACTTTACCAAATTGTGCCCAGCCAAAGTGGCCCTTGATCGATTCCTCATCGCAAGGGCCACCCGAGCTGGACGATTTCTTATCGCCAGTGCTACCATTATTCTTATCATTGGCCAGCATTGAGCCATTGGCACGGCCATTTGATGTTGTAAGTGCCGGCACCAGATGCATACTGCCATTGGGTAACTTTTGGTGGCGCGACAGATAGCTCATAATATTCGTTTGTCCGTTGCCATTTGTTATCGGTGGCTGCATGGCCACTCCTCCACCCCCTGCACCTGCACCAGCAGCACCGCCGCCCGCAGCAGCACCGCCACCGCTGACGCTGCCGCCAATGCCGCCATTTGCATGCTGCATGGCCGCTGCTGCCGCCGCCTGTCGGCTGGCCTGTTGTGCAGCCTGTTGCTTTTGTTGCTCCTTCATTTTGGCAGCGAGTTCACGGATTTCCGCATCGTCCTCCTGCTTGACGGGTGGACCCAGTGTTCCGCCCAGACTGTTGCCGTGCAGCGGCAGCGTTTGACCGTTTGCATCAATTACGCTCGTTATCTGCACATCATCGCTGCCGGAGCTGGACATGGCGGCGGCTGCTGTTCCTCCTCCTCCTCTTCCTCTTCGTCCTCCTCCTCCCCCTAGTCCGGCTTCTGCTCCTGCTCCGGCTGCTGCTGTCGCTGCTCTTGCTGCTGATCTCTTGCGCTCCCTCTCTCGCTCTCGCACACGCTCAATGTCAAGCTTGACCTGAGCTTGTTTTCTGGCTAATTTTGATAATTTGTATTGATGCTGCGTGCGCCGCATTAATTCATTTTGCATTTGCTGCAACAAAAGTGAGAAAACCAACAAACAAACCATTTTTAATAAACAGCAAAATAATCACACAATTTATATTTTGTCGCTTTTCCTTTCCTCTTTTGTCGCTTTTCCGATTCAACATTCAACATATATATACACAAAAACTAGGTAAATAATAAGTAAAGCACACTTGTGGAACAAATAATTACCAAAAAAAAGAAAAGAAAAATGGAAAATCTGACCAGGTGGCAATGCCGTTTAATTGTAAACAAACACTTTAAATTGTATTGGCGGTATTTTCATTTGGATTGTTGTTGTTTTTGTTGTTGTTGTTTAATGATGTTTGTTCCACTGCCATTGATTGATAAAGAATTTCGATTTCGTCTCACCAATTTGCAAATTGGTGTCGAATTCATAGTTAACGTTAACTTTCGCGTGTCGGGCGAATTCATGAAGAGAGTTAGTTGCCAGTGTTTATGTTTATGCCACTTTGAGTCGGTTTCGTGAAATGATTTTGCAAATTGAGCAAGCATAAACGGAGTAATTGACAAACACTATCTCTCTCTCTCTCTCTCTCTCTCTCCCTCTGTCTACCACTCGCTCTCTCTTGGACGCTGCTCTCGCTATCACCGCCCCGGCATGCGCCAGCGCTCAGCTGACACAGATATGGCAACACTGGTCACACACACACACACAAACACGCACACGCAAACACAAAACACACACACAGCAAAACGTGCTGCTGTTGATGTTGTTTTGTTGTTGCCTTTTGCTTTTCGACTTTTTTGATTATTGTTGTTGTTATTTGTATATCGTGCTCTTTCTTTCGCGCGCACTTTTTGTTGTTGTTTGTGGTATGTGCGCCGGCAGAGGCAGTGGCAGCGACTGCGAGTTTTTTTTTCTTTTTCTGTTTTGCAAATTTCTTTTTCAACTGGCAACTGACAAACATTTATATTTACATATATATATACTACTATATGTATATATAAAAGTTATGTATGTATGTATGTAGTTGTACATTTCACTATTTCATTTCACACTTACAACAATTGCTGATTATAATTTAGTTGATTGAAAAACTTCAAAAAAAATTGACACATGTGGGGCATATATAATCGACGCTTTATCGCTTATCTCATATGACAATGTAAGCGTTTCAATTTTAAATATATTTTAATATATGTGTATTATTTGTTGATTGATATAACGCCGACGCGACGCCTACAAAACGACGCTAAAAAAAAAACGCTGCTTTTTCTTGCTCTGCGGACCGCGACGTGACGTCCTCCCGTCTTCGCAATACACAAACGAGTGTGATCGTTGTTACGAAAATTATTTCAACGAAGTCAACTGAAAAATGTGTGCGTGTGTGTGTGTGTGTATGTGTGTCTGTGTGTGTGTGTGTGCTAGCTACAATGTATGTGTGTACATAGCAGTGGCGTCGACGTCGACGCTGGCAGCGCAGCAGCTTTGTGTGTGTATACATAAAACTCATACACATAGATATACACACACACACAAACATACAGAGAGGAAAAAGATACACAAAATACATAGAGCTGACGCTACAGCCGGCGCTGCTGCAGCAGCAACACGACTACGACCCGAACATGCAACGAACATTTGCCGAATTACTGCTGCTGCTGAGGCTGGTGTTGCTGCTGCTGCGAGCCCCGCCACCAACAATATCGTTATTACTGTTGTTGTTGTCCCCCGCCGCACACCTTGCAGCCCCCTTGTGCACTTCTTCTATCGACTAGCTAAGCGGCGCTGCTAGCTACAGCTACTACAACGGCACAGTTACTGTGGTGCAATTCCCATAAACCTGCAGTAGCAATTTAAATCAAGCATTTACACATACATACACACATTTATATGTATGTGTGTAACTTTTTCTTTTTTTGTGAGAAAGAAGCCAAACTTCTGCATCTTAAATACAAATAGAAAACACATAAATATGTATATATAATATCATATTTGTACATATAATAAAACAGAAATTAATAAATAAATCATTCTCAGCCAAAAGGGGAAAATGCATCTAGTTATTATTAAATGTTTAAATATGCCTATCCCTGGTCCACCACTGTCTCTCATATATATTCATTGGCTCTTCTGGTCTCTGAATTATATCGGGTCGACTTTTAAAACTGATAAGGATTAAATACACTTCTAATGGGATCGGCTGAGAAGGGAATAGCAAAATTATAATCGTGTTCACTTTTGCTTTAACTAGTTTCAAAAAAAATAGTAAAGAAATAACGATGATAATAATAATACTAGTAATAATAATAATTAATAATAATAAAAACAGCAAGAATAAGAATAACAATACTACTAATAATAATTAAAAAAATATATAATAATAATAAAATAATGTACTTAACCACAAGACCATATACATATCAATATATGCATTTACACACAAATCTATATATATAAATGTATATATTGTGTATTGTGTTTTGTGACCACTGTGCAAGCATAGCTTAAGCCATGTACGATTCAAACACATAGCGGTAGAGCTGATGGCGGCGACGTCGATGGCTGCGTCGGACGCTGGCTTTGCGCTGCCTTGGCTGCAGCGTGGGTCAAACATGCCATCGTCTGTCCGATGTCCGTTGGGTCTCTGCCTGTGTATGTGTGTATTTTTGGGGCAGCAGAGCGAACAGTGAGCGGGGGCGTCTCTATTTTTGGCAGCGCCATGCTAACCCCGCCCCCACCACTGCCACCCGGCTCAAGCAATGCGACCCCTGCCTAGCAATAGACGTGAATGTGTATGTATGTGTGTATGTGTATGTGTGTGTGTTTATTTGTTTGGCATGCTGCAGCATGGTCTGTGTATACGCTCGCAGGCCCTGGCTCTGTGCACGTTCCCTTTCCCCTCTCTCTTTCTCTCGCTCTTTCTGTCTCCCCCCACCCCACATCACACTCTTTCTCACTCTCTCTCCCTCTTACTTGGTCGCTCTCAATCTCATTCCCTGGGTGTATGCAAGAAGTTTTCGTTATTCGCGCGCTCTGTGTGCTCAAGAAAGGCCCCGCTTCGTTCGGCAGCAGCAGCAGCGGCAGCAGCAGCGGCAGCAGACAAGACAGCAGCTGCCGACGACAATGTAGACAGCGCTTTGTATGTATGTACACAAATACACAAATACATATATGTGCATATGTATGTGTGTGCGTGATTTTTTTTTGTTGCTTCTGCTGCCGACGCTACGCTAGCTGGGCCATTGTACGGTAAAAAGTAAAAGAGCGCCGACTGCGACGAAGCTGGCGTCGGCTGCGCAGTGCTAAAAGGTCGCCCTCTAAGTGCATTCCCAAAAAAAAAAAAAAAAAAAAAAAAAAAACGCACGCTTAATTTAACCATTCCATAAATGAATTTAGTTGCCGCTCGCCCACTCCACTCTCTAATCTCCACACTCCCTCCCCCCCCCCCCCCCGCAGAGCTTTGCAGCTGAATCTAAATTTAGATTTCAGCACAGTTACTTACAAATGTATGTATGTATGTGTGTGTATGTTTTGATTTTAGAGCTCATTGCTAATTAGTCAGCTGTGTGGGCCTTTTCCCGTATTGTGTGAATACCAAAAGTGCTGCGATTATACTGTGGTGTTTCCCTTACATGTGACTACATATATGTATGTATGTGTGTGTATATGTGTATATGCATACATACAGACGAGCACGCACTGGCATCGATAAGCGTCGTTTTCGTCATCCCGAACAGCGGCAGCAGCGAAAAGCGAGGCCCCGTTTCGTGCTGCGCTTTGCTATGTAAACACAGCTAAGCATGTCCATGTCCATGTCTATGTGTTGTGTGTGTGTGTGTGTGTGTGTGTGTGTGTGTGTGTGTGTGTGTGTGAGCTCGTCTTTTCCCATTGAGATATGAAAGGGTGGTGGGATTGGCTCCTTGTGGGGGATAACGGGTAGGGGAGGGGGAGTGGTGGGCATGAGTTATTGGTGGCTTAGCAATTTGTTGCTATTTGTGCATTGGCAATACTTCGATATAATATTAACTCTGTCTATTTTTATGCTGGCTCAGCGGGTGTCGAGGGCGCCAGGAGGCGATGACGATGTGTATACATACATACATACATACACGCATACACACACACACACACAACACATAGGCATGGACACGCATGCATGCATACACACATACATATATATGTACAACATTAAAGAAATGCTTGCATTTCGAAATAAAAATAGATGGCTTAAGCCTAAGCATAAATCGAACAGATTGTATTTAATTTTGGTGTATTTATGTATATAATATTGAAAGTAAATAGATCAAATATTTCTAGAAAATAACAATGTTTAATTCTACCTCCAACCGTATAGATCTCTTATCACCAATACAAAAATCTAGTCTCTTTTTTAATCCTTTCATTGACATCTTCAAAATATGGTATGTAGCTTTAGAAAACCTTTCTTTTTTTTTTATGTAGCATTTATATTTTAAACATTAATCAACCTATTCAAAGGCTATAAAACATTGATTTGTAACAGAATGAATAATAACAGTGAATTACAATCTATAACATAAACATGGGACAGGTTTTAGCAGTTAATAAATAACATCAAAAATTACATTTGTGGCACATTTATTTAACGCCCTACAGTCCAGAGGTCGCTGGTGTGGAGGCGCTTCAACCTCCTGCGTGTTGTATTCGACCCAAGTGAGCAGGCCAAAGGGTTGACATGGTTGTGTAAACGGTCATTGTACCGACTTGTATGTCTGTTAATTTGTTGACTGACTGTCAGCAATCCGAAGTCGTTGAGCAGCGTTCTGTTGCACACATATGGTGGAGCACCAGAGATGTCTCTGAGCACCTTGTTCT